GTCTGGGAGAGGCTTTGTGGGACCCACACAGAGCCCATGTATGGACAAGGCTAGTGACCATCCTCTGAGCAACCATGAGGCTTCTGGTTCCCTGTGTCAAAATTGAGGTACAGGGAAGGCCATTCCTGGGCACATGCAGTCAGAGTAAAAACATGGTGCGGAACTGAGGGAAATGGAGAGGCTGGGGAGACTAGTTGGGGACTGGGCGTGGCTGGATGAGGCCCATGGCTGTGCAGGGCTGTTCAGCGGGCCTATGTGGAGGGCAAGGGCCTCACTGCCTTTCATTGGAAGCATCTGGGGAACAGAGGCCCCAGCGTGAGAGAAGCCGCCTCAGTCTGCCTACACTCATACCACGCGAGGTGAATAACGAGTCCCCCTCCCCATGTGCCGATGACTGCAGGGAGTGGGGCAGGGGACAGTGTTAAGGAATCCAGTCAAGTCCACCAAGAAGCACCTTGGAAGAAAGGCCTGGCAGTCAGCCAGTGGGATCCCTCCAAGCCTAGTTCTTCGATGCACAGCAGGAACCACTGGGTTTCGGGAAGAAAAGGAGGAACCAGGGAAGAAAAAGGATGTATTTCTGGGTTTTTTCCCATTTTTTTGTCATCATGTAAAAACTACATAGTGAACCTTCAGGAAGGCAGCATCTGACCTCCACTCACTTCACGAGGGTGAAGAATCCCCATCAGTACTAACAGCACGTGGTTCCAGACCTCTAACTCAGTGATTTCACACCCTTCTGTTTCTTCCCTGGTTAAGGAGCTCTGGTGCACCGTGAGGAATGTGCATGGTGCAGTGATTAAGGCACTTGGCTGTTACCTGAAAGGTCAGTGGTTCAAATCCATCAGCACTCTTTCCAAGGGTTGGTCACTCCGCACATGACCAAAGCATGTGAGACAAAAGTTAGTTATTCCGGCCCCTGAGGGGCGCCACACTTGCACTTCCTTCCAGAGAGATTGTTCTTGTGTCAGCCCAGGAGCTTGAAAACCTTCAAAAGCAAAGTTGTCAATCTGAGAAGAGATATGTACCTGAGCCAAGCTGTCATCTGATTGGCTGTAAGTGGGTGTCCAGGCCTGGTCCCAGGCTGGAAGGAGGAGGGGGCATCGCTGTTGAACAGGGCTCTTTACAGAACTAAAGGGCAGCAGTATCCTCAGCGTCAGTAGCAAAGTTCAGAGGGGCAGTAGACAGAAAATGCTAGTGAGGCTGTAGAGAGACCGGCACTCTTATTCCCTCCTGGGCGAGTGTCGAATGGAGCAACCATTGTGGAAGCGGTCTGGTGCTTTCTCAAAAAGTTAGAAATACCGTTTGACCCAGCAATTCCATTACTGGTAAATATACCCTAAAGAAAGCAGAGCCAGGACTTAAACAGATGTATGCACGCCTGTGTTTATTACTGCATTATTCACAATAGCAAAGAGATGGAGGCAGCGCCACTCCCTATCAACACTATGAATGGACAGAGAAACTAGAGCAAGTTCCTGTAACGGAGTATTATGCAGCACTGAAGAACAGTGAACCTGTGAATATTACACAACATGGGAGAGCCTGGAGGGCATTATGCTGAGTGAATATCTCAATCACAGAAGGACAAACCGCATAAAACTGCTATAGAACAGACATGGGGGGCTGGGGAGAGAATGGGTGAAGAGTGGATAGATGACAAACACGGCATAGAATAGATGGGGGAGGGGTATCTGATTAGGCTTTCCTTGTATATATGACAACAACCGGAAACAAGGGGTGCACTGCAGGGGGTGTTGGGGGAGGAGGAGGGGAGGAATATGTTTAACAAGGAAGAAATACATTTTAAAAAAAGTAAAGAGAAAGGATGTCACTTTAAAAAGTAGTGTGCCTCTAATCCAAGCCATGGTGTTTTCACTTGCCTCTGATACATATGCAATTTAGCCTGTGAATAAAGAAAACCAAAGGAAAGAAAATTTAAGAGAGGAATGATGTCACCTTCAGGTCTAAGGTGCCCCTGAACCAAGTCATGGTGTTTTAAATAATCTCATAGGAAGCTCTGGTGGCCTAGTGGTAACAAGCTGTGCTGCAATCCCGAAGGCACGCTATTCAAATCCATCCATCCTCCCATGTGATTAACTGTCTCTGAAAACTCACCAGAGGCTCAGCGAAGGGTCGGGTCTAACTCAACAGTATATAAGAAGAACGTATGTGTGAAAGCTGGGCAATGAATTAAGACTGAGAACAGATGTCTGAGTTACAGTGTTGGGGAAGAGTGTTGAATGTATACCATGAACTGTCAGAAGAACAAACAGATCTGTCTTAGAAAAATGCAGCTGCAGTGTTTCTTAGAGGCAAGCATGGTGAGACTGCATTCCATGGACTTCGGGTGTATGAGGAGGGACCCCCATCTGACCACACACATCCTCCTGTGTCTCACAAGTGAGGACTCGGGCGGCACTGGGGAAGATGGACCTCTTGGGACTTTCTGTTTGAAGGAGGCTGGGGGGGCTCTATGTCTTGGTCCACATGCTAGGCAGGCCCGTGAGTCCTCTGTGGGGGTCCCTGTCTTGATGCACATGCTGGACAGGCCCGTGAGTCCGCTGTAGGGCTCTGTCTTGGTCCACATACGGGGCAGGCCCGTGAGTCCTCTGTAGGGGTGGATGAATGGGGGTGCAGTTTGGTTGGGCTTTCAGGTTCTGGGGACAGGAAGTCACAGGGCCAGGTTGGTAGCCTGGATCGGTGCCAGGCTGGAGTGGTTAGTATAGGGCTGGGCTGCGTGGAGATCTCTGAGCAGGCCAAATGGTGAGAAGTCCCTAAAGGCAGCAAAGCCCGTGAGAGGTGGTCCTTGGGCCTGGCACAGTCTTGATGAGGGGACCACGCTGTCCTCTCATTCCTTGGGCTCCATGATGCCCTGGTGATTCCCTGGATCCCTTCTTACGGATTGAATTGTGTCCCCTAAAGATAGACGACAACTTGGCTGGACAGTGATTTTCAGTGTAATGTAATCATCCTCTATTTACTGATTGGACGTAACTATCCCTATGTGTTGTAAATCGTGACCCTTATGATATTAATTGGGAGTCCAGATGGTGTAGTGGATTAAGTGTTGAGTTACTAACTGAAAGGTCAGGAGTTCAGATCCACTAGCTGCTCTTTAAGAGAAAGATACAGTCAGCTTCTGTTAACGTTTACAGCCTTGCTGGCCCAATGGAGGGTCTCCCAGAGTTGAAATTGTCTTGGCAAGAGAGAGTTGGATTTTTTATGATGTTAATGAAGCAGTGTGCCACCTGTAGGATTAGTTGAGTTTTAAGTCAATCTCTTTTGAGATATAAAAGATATTAAACTAGTGAGCAGAGATGAGAGGGACCTACTATTGCCAAGAAAAAGAGCTGGGATTGGAGCATATCCTTGTGCTGAGAATCTTCTAGATCCAGGGACTATCGAGACACACACGGGGGTCTCCAAGGGACCTCAGGCCCACAGAGTCCAAAGAAGTAAAAAACTTTCCTACAGCTGAGTAAGGGAGGAAGTCTTCCATAAGCACTGGGACCCAGAGTTCAGTGCAGTCTATAGAGTTGAGAAAACCCAAAGGTCATCCACTCTGCCAGCATCTCCCTCCTCCTGTGTGAGTTTCCGCTCCAGAGACCCACTGCAGGGTCAGTTATGAGTCAGTTCTGACTCAACAGCAAGGGCTTGGAATGTCGTTTAGCCTCTGAGATCATGACAATAATTATGCTTCAAAACCCAATCATCTGTGGTATTTCTGTTATAGCAGCAGCTGAGACCACAGGGCTCCCCCATGCAATCTGAAGGCTGGTCACCCTGTCAACTCTGCACTGCGTCTAGGCTGAGAGGGACAGCACCTGCCAGGGTCCCTCCTGGAGGCCCTTGTCTTGCCATCCCCTGCTGCCATAGCAGGAGTCCACAAGTGGATGGTTTTTACACGTAGACGTCTGTTCCCACGCCGTTCAGGAGGGTGGGAGGCCACCTGCAGAGCATTGGCTATGGGGAGGCTCTTGGCTGTGACAAAACGTCACGCCTCCGTCTTCTGTTTCCAATCCCTTGGTCATTTCTTTGTGACATTTGTCATGCCCGGCTTGTCCTTGCTTGTCCCTGTGTCTGTGCCTTTCCGGTGCCACTCCAAAGTGATTGTATTCTGGACACACCTCAACTGAGTGTCCATCAACATAGCAAAGAGCATCCTATCTCCAGTAGGACCATACCCTCAGCACAGAGGCCGGCAGCCCAGTGGATATTTAGGGGTCTAAGGGACAGCATGTTTCAATATGCAGCAGGCCTCCCTTATACTGTGGCCAGCTGTGGTGACTTGGGCCCCCAGTGGTGACTCTGTGGTGTATATTTTTGGGGGGCATTTCTGGTTCTCCAAGTGACTTTGGAGCAGGGTGGGGTCCAAGGCTGGGGACAGATATAGTCCCCTGGTCAGTGTGGCCCTGGTCAGTGTGGTGGAGACGGCTCAGCCATCCTGCCAGGCGTCGGCCATCACCCTGACAGGACACCAGTGGCTAGTCCCATGGTAACTCTTCACTGTGGAGTCTTGTCCAGGCCACTGCCCTCTGGGCTGCTGTCGGAGTCCTTAACATGGAGTCCAGGAAGAGGAAGGGCGGGCAGGTAAGGGCTTTGCGATCCCGGGGCTTTTCGAGCCCTCAGGTGTCTGCCCAGTGATCCTGGGTCTCTTCAAGATGTAGGGCCAGCCACCTTTTCGTAGTTACACACCAGGTAGCTATGAGTCACTTCCAAACCAGCTGTTCTGGTGTGCTGTACATCAGGTCCCTGTGCGTCAGCTCTCTCCCAGGTTGCATCATGTTGCATGTAAGATTCCATGGGTCAGAGCTGACTCAGCAACCTGGGATCCAGTCCCCAAAGGATGAGCTTTTGGCTAAGGCCACCCAGACATGACAGGTGGCATAAGAAGACCCCGTGCCCCTCAAGGGGACATGTTGTGGATGCCCTGCCCACCACAGCAGCCACAGTCCCTGGCCGAAAGATCCAGCTTTGGCCTCAGCATCTCCATTTTTCAGGTCGGGGCCATCGGTGACGAGGAGGAGTGGGTCAGCCTGTATGAGGAGGAGAACGAGCCAGACGCCCAGACGCTGGAAATCCCAAACCTCACACCGTACACTCACTACAGGTGAGAACAGCCAACGATCACGCGCCACGGGAGAGGGCCACCTCCACCAGGTGTCCCCGTCTGCGATGACAGGTCCTCACCATATGTGTACAAATGAGGTGTTACGGGTAGCAATTAGAGTAAACCAAGGCTGTAAGGAGCAGATGGGACGTGCAGCTGAGGATTATTTCCAGGAGAAGCTCCTCTGTCAGTGGAGTGTTCCTTCCTTCAGTAGTTAGGAAAGCACCGCATGGAAGTGCTCGCCGGGACATTGCCGATAACCAGGGAGCCAGTAGCTGTGGAAATGGGCTTCTCTGCAAACCTCAGGACGGCGTGGGGCCGTTCCCACACCACCGCAGACATGTCGAGGGCTCTGTCCTAGCGTGCCTGCCTCCCGCCTCACTCATCATCCATCATTAGCAACCACTTACTTGCCATTTAACCTTTTGCGTCTTGATATTGAAACTTACCCTGCAGTAAATCCTCGCTCTTCCCCAAGGGGAGTGAGATCAGGGGCTATGGGAGGAGGCGTGACTTCCCGTAAGATCCTTGATAGGGCAGCCTTTCCCGTTAAGGCACCCCTGGTGCGTGGGGTGATGTCACGTCATTGCTCTACCAGGCGGGCACGTTCCGTAAGGTGGGGGAGGACAGGGCGGCAGGAGGGCTGACTCGGGGAGGAAAAGGTGACTTTGACATCTTTGTCAAGAGAGCTCTTCCAGGACAATGGCCAAGCTGGAGTTGAAAAAGGAAAAGGAAATGTGAACAAGGTAGGGCCTAGGTGCTGTTCATTCTGGCATCCTTCCTGAGAAGACTGGAGCAGACAGGTCAAGAGAGGGTGCACTCAGTTTTAAAGGGGAGGGGCAGAATCTTGGGCCTAAAAGAAATTGTTTGGGCTTCAACACCTAGCATGTGAAATTAACTAAAGCCATATCATTTCAATTCATTCCTGATCCCTATCAGAAACTGTGATTAAAGACCAATATCCTTGTCTTAAATTCTCACACGTTTGTGGGTGTGTGTGTGTGTGTGTGTGTGTGTGTGTGTGAGTGTGTGTGAGAGAGAAAGCTGTGCTGCAATCCTGATGGCACATGGTTCGGGGCCACCAGCTGCTCTGCAGGAGAAGGATGGACAGTCTCCTCCCATGTGATTAACTGCCTCTGAAAACCCTCCAGAGGGTCAGCTATGGGTTGGTTCTGACTCTGTGGTATACAACAACAACATGTGCTTAGGATTATTTCCTTGTACAGAAATTGTTTAAGTAATTATGCCTAGAAACACAGGTGCCCCTCACTTTATTGCACCTCCCAGATACTGCGATTTTTTAATTTATTATTATTATTATTATTAGTGTGTGTGTGTGTGTATACCGTCAAATTAGATCTGACTGGTACAGGAGGAGATTGCCCCTCCTTCTCCAGCAAAGCCTCGGGTGGATTTGAACCGCTCACCTCTGGGATTGCAGTGCACCTTCTTGCCACTAGGCCACCAGAGCTCGCCAGATACTGGGATTTTCGCAGATTGAAGCTCTTGGCCACTGAATCAAACAAGTCTGTTGGTGTGATTTTCCCCAACAGCATATGCCACTTCTTGTCTCATTCTGGCCGTTCTCTGAGTACTTGCAGCTTGTTCAGAATCCTGTGGGGCGTGTGGAGGAGCCGCTGTGCAGAGGCAGCGCCCTAGTGGTCCAGATCCACCAAGAGGAAGAGAACATTCTCCTCCCATGCAAATCGCAGCCCTGGGGACCCGGCGCAGGGTCGTGGGGAGCAGGAAGACCCACCGCCGGGTCACGGGGAGTGGGAGGACCCACCGCAGGGTCACAGGGAGCGGGACGACCTGCTGCAGGGTCACGGGGAGTGGGAGGGTCACGGGGAGCGGGAGGACCTGCAGGGTCGTGGGGAGTGGGAGGACCCGCCGCAGGGTCACGGGGAGCGGGAGGACCTGCTACAGGGTCGCTGGGTGGGACTTGCTGGCAGCGACGGTCTGAGTATTTCACTGTAACATGCTGCTGTAGTGCCGTTGTATCGGAACCGACCCAGAACCGCCCTTCCTTCGGGCTTTCAGAGGCAGTAAATTGTGTGGGATGCGATTACCCATCTTTCTCTAAAGAAGCAGCCGATAGGTTCAAACTACGTGCTTTGTGTTGGCGGTGCAGTTCTCACCGCTGGGCCCCCAGCGTCCCTCGACTGCAGTGTAGCAGCATAAGCTTCCATGTGCCGGGGGCCAACAGGGTCGGGCGCCGTGCTTCACATGCAGAACTGAAGGTTTTCTGGGAAGTTTAAAGAACATCAGACTCTACGTCATTTTATAAATAAGGAATCTGAGATTTGCCTAATTTGCTCCAGTATCGGGGAAGGTGTTGATCTTGGCCGTTATGATGTGGCTTTGCAAGATATACACCAGTTGTTAGAACAGCTCACAATGTTCATTCCAGCCAACTTCTGCCTGGCGCTTCTTTTTCTCCTGGGAGCTCAGTAGCCCAGCTGCCAGCTGTAAAGGTTTGTAGAAGAGGTGACCCCAGCTGGACCACCTGAGCCCTCTCTCCAAGCCCCTCTGTGGTTTGTCTTGCCTCGCAGATTTCGAATGCGCCAGGTGAACGTCGTGGGCCCGAGCCCCTTCAGCCAGTCGTCCAGGGTCATCCAGACGCTGCAGGCCCCGCCCGACGTGGCCCCAACCAGCATCACTGTCCGCACGGCCAGTGAGACCAGCCTGTGGCTGCGCTGGGTGGTAAGTCCCGCTGCCCGGAGGGGGTACCAGGGGTGCTGTGCAGGGCGCTGGGCCCCACAGAGCGGATAGCAAGCTTAGCTTTTCAAGGTCGTACCTTTTCCAGGTCCACTGAATTCCACTTTGAAACCAAACCCCATCCCATTTCACAGTCCATGTGGCCATGTGGAGCATTGATTAGCCTGTTAAGGGGTTTCCCAGAACAGGGGGACAGTCTTTGGGAAGGAACCAGTGATGCTGCTTATTGGCGCTTTGGGGGAGAGGCTGCCTTTCCTCAGCGTTCTTCCCACAAGTGAGCAGCTGTGCGTCCAGTTACGTCCCACAGAGACCCCCCCACCCCCACCGCCAGCTCCAGGGATGTGAGAACTGGAGCTGCGGGCTCAGAGGATCGGGCTCCTGGGACGGGCCAGCTAGTTGGTCTTGGCAGATGTCCACTCACAGTGGCCTCTTGCTCCTCCAGCCCCTCCCTGACTCCCGGTACAACGGGAACCCCGAGTCCGTGGGCTACAGGGTCAAGTACTGGCGCTCCGACCTCCAGGCTCCCGTCCTGGCCCAAGTCATCAGTGACCGGCTGGAGCGGGAGTTCACGGTGGAGGAGCTGGAGGAGTGGACGGAGTACGAGCTGCAGATGCAGGCCTTCAACGCCATCGGGGCCGGGCCGTGGAGCGAGGTGGTGCGGGGCCGCACGCGGGAGTCAGGTGAGAGACGTGACGCGGTCCCCTGACATCTCCAAGCCCCAGCTTGTCCCAAGATCGTGGCATCTGAGGAGTGGACTGGAAAAGCACCCCGGGCCTTTCTGCCTCGTGGGCTTTAGTGCACGCTCCTAGGGACCCTGTTCCGGTCATAGCATCTATCCAGAGAGGTGAGTGGTGGCTGGCTTGAGGGGCACTGCCCGGGAACTAAACCCGGCTCTCCCGCGTGGAAGGTGGAACTCGACAACTTTACTAGTGGGCACTTTACCAGCCCACCAACTAAGTTGGACTGGACAGTAATTAAGACATGACATCACTGGGGCCCTGTGCCACCAGTGAGAAGCTAACGAGTTCTAACTGTGGCTCCTTCCCTATTAGTATCTAATTAGGGGTCATTTTCACTGTCAGTGATGAGAACTGGGAGCGAGGAGCAGATTCTGGGGAAATGTCCTCTTGACCAGTCAGCCCGTGATAGGTCGTCTCACCCACAGGAACGCACAGGCCCCAAAAGGCGAGTTGCTTTAGCTCTGGACGTTTGTTCCTCCCTCCTTCAGTTACCTCAGGAGGGCACTGCTGTTGGGGGATCACCGTCTTCACAGAGGAGGGTTCCAGCTCCCAGACTTTGCTGTCCTGTGGGGTAAAACCCTGCACATGCCCCTGCCTGAAGGGAAAAGAAGGTGACAAGTGGGTGCAGCTGTGTCTAAGGCCCTGCATGAGGTGGTGTACCTGGGCTCTAAGAGACGGCACACCTGCCCCCCAGGCCCTGTGTGGAGGCTGCACCTGGGCTCTGCAGGGATGGCACACCTGCCCCCCCAGGCCCTGTGTGGAGGCTGCACCTGGGCTCTGCAGGGATGGCACACCTGCCCCCCAGGCCCTGTGCGGAGGTGGTGCCCCTAGGCTCTGTACGGAGCTGGATCTTGTGATCCATCTGTGGCTCTGTGCAGAGGGGCTGTGCCTCTGAACTTGTGCTTGTGTGGAGAAGGCGTGCCTGTGCTGTCAAGTTTACTCCCACTCCGAGTGGCCCCATGTAACGGAGCAGGGTGTTCTGGGTCTGTCACCACCTGTTCTCTCCCAGAAGGTCACTAGATGAGTTTGAACTGCAAATCTTTCCATTAACAACTGAGCATTTAAGCACTGATTAAGCTATGGAAATGGGTTGGTTTAAACAGCTGGAGAGGAATGGAGAATGATTGATGGTATGAGGATTCATTGGAGTGAGTGGTGGAAGCCTTTCACAGGCTAACGGGGCCTCCAGAGAGCTGTCACCATGACTAGCAAGTCCAAGCAGCCAAGCTCTTAGGGCTTCTGCGTGCGCACACAGCTCGCTTTCAGGCTGCAGACAGTACGTGCGAGATAAGGGATGGAGACACGCTTATCATCCTCTTACGATGGAGTGATCACACAGATTGTCAGAAGGCCCTAACATCTTAATATTGGGACCTTTCTGGCAGAGAAGAGCGCTGGAGGAATTATAAAGGGCACTTCCGGCTCCTGTTATCGGCAGGTGGAGGTAAGACGTGACACAGCTCTGCTGTTGCCAGCCAGACAGCTGCGGGTAGAAGATCGTTCATATGTGAGTGATCACAGAGCAAAAGGGAAGCCCTTGGGAGTCGGGGCCTCCTGCCGCCCGACCTGCAGTGACCCTTGTAGGACAGGGTAGGACGGTCCCACTGGGTTTCTGCTGAGAGACTTGTCTCTAGAACATGTGACCATAGTCAACGCATTGCCGTCGAGTTGGAATCGACTCACAGCAGAACCCCTCGGCTTTCAGGAGGCTGGGGACCACATGGGAGGATCTGAACTTCAGGTTAGAATACGACTCCCTGCAAATGATGTCACCACAGCCCCCGTGAATTTATAAAGAATTTTCAAAAGTCAACAACACAAACAGAAGCAACTCAATGAAAAAACTGGATAGAAAGCTTAAGGAGGTATTTCTCAGAAGATCTGGAAGCTCCCAGTGAAACAATTCTTAACACCACTGATCACTGGAGAAATGCAACTACAAACTCAACGGAAGTCCATTATGTGCTTATGCAAACAATGCGTCCACTTACGGTAGCCGAAAACCACACACACTCCAGAAGTTACTTTCGTGTGTTGGTATGTGGTGTGTGTGTGTGTGTGTGTGTGTGTGTGTGTGTGTGTGTGTGTGTGCTCTCTACATAGGAACATGAGATACAAAAATACGTTAAAGAGGATTTAACAATCATGTATTTACGCACACAAAGAGACCTAGGTAGTCCTATAATAAAGTCTGGAGACGTAAGCATGCCGCATTCAGAATTGCCCAGAATCTGGAGGGAAGACCGGTGAGGAAGCAGGAGCTCACCGTAAACCAGCTACCCCAGCAGACGCGCACTGAACACTCTGCTTCACCACAGTGTGGCACGCATGCTGCCCCAGCACACAGACCATTCAGTTTAGGTCACAAAGCAAGTCTTATTAAAAGACTAAGATTATCCAAGTTCTTTTCTCTGACCTCAAACAAAAGTCAGTTGGATTTCTACACCCCAGAAATGAGAACTAGGAAAGGCCGTTAGGGAAGCAGTTCCACTGACAACAGCGTCTAAGAGAAAGCAATACCTAGGAATAGACCCAAGGAGCTCTTGTGACGTGCTGCTCAGAGGACTATGCTGCTGACCCAAGGACCAGCCGCTCCGGGGGTTTGAACCCACCAGTGTTTCCGTGGGACGAAGATGGAAGATCTCTTCCGTGTAACGTGTAGACTCAGAAACCCAGGGGAGCACCAGCTAGGAGGTGGTTGTGACCCAACAGAAATGAGTTTTTTGGCCTTTGAGGAATACATCCAGCCAGGGACATGGAGGGCTTTAACAATCAAAGCTGTACAATGTACTGACAGAGATTAAAGAAGACTTCAATAAATGGGAAAAGTCTCTGCGTTCACGGATTGGAGGACTTAATATTATGAAGATGTCAATACTACCCAACGTGATCTATAGGTTCAACACAATCTCCATCAAAATTTTGACAGCCTTCTTTATAGAAATAGAAAACCTGGTCCTGCGCTTTCTGTGGGGATGTAAGAGGCATTGAACAGCTACAGCAATGTGGAGAGAGCAGAACAATGTAGGAGGCTCACTGTCTGATTTAAAAGGTACTAAGGAGCATTTGTGGTGCAGTCCGTTAGGTATTACACTGCCGCTAAGCAAAAGGCCAGCGGTTCAAATCCACCAGCTGCTCTGCAGACGCGAGGCACACAGGCTCCTCCTGTAACAACGTACAGTCCATAAAGCTGACGTTGGAGGGACACGCAGGAGTGGGCTCTCCTCACCAACAGGGAGAGCCAACGTAATGAGGACAGCAGAGGGGAGGACAGGGCTCAGACCCAGTGGTTCACAGGTCACCGCAAGTCATGTTCGACTCGCCAGCCCCTAACAACAACAACAAGAGCAGTCCAAACACCTGCGTCCTGGTACCAATCAGGGAATCCAGAACCAGCCCTGCACCTCTGTGGTCACCTTACTTTGACAAGGACGCCAAGTCTTTTCACGAGTAAAGAAAATCTCAACACGTGCTGTTGGGAAAACTGTACTCCCGTGTGCAGAGACGAAACGGGTCTGCGCTCTCTCCATTCACAGAAACAAACTCAGCATGGGTTCAGGCCCCGACTATGAAAATGGAAACCTTAGCATGTTTGGAAGAGCAAACAGAATACCCAGCTCTTAACACTGGATTGTGTCGGCAAATACGCAGTGGCGAGTGACAGAGCAAATGAATGGGACCTCCAAGCAACTAAAAGAATTTGGTGATCAAGAGACTTTACCAGAATACGAGTGAAAAGACAGGCTATGAGCTTGGAAAATACCCTCAGAAATCACATCCTCAAGAAGTTGGGCGCAGCTGACTGCCCTGTGCAGTTTCTAAGTTGCCCGTCTCAGCCAGAAGCTGCATATCTTTCTCCTTTTGGTTCACATCCCAGCAGCACTTTTATCACTGTGCCACCACCACATGAGCCTAACAATTCTACTTCAAGAAATGTATCCACGAGAACTGGGCACAGATCCACAAAACTAACCCACAAGTGCTCATAGAATTTCTCAGTCGTCAGAAGTTGGAGGCAGCTTGGGTGTCCATGAACAAATTCCATAAAACGCAGGGACGCATACGTTGGAGAACTGCTGCAAGAAGAAGTAATGCAGGGCCGGCGCACGCTCCACAGAGCAGGCCTGCGAGTGCCAGTCTGCTGCCTGAGTGAGAAGGTGCACTGGTGGCTGCCCAGGGCTGAGGCCAGTCATGAAGGATGGAAGAATTGATTTCTTGCACTATGATCTAGGGGCAGAGGTTGTATACGCCGCTGGCTGCCACAAAAATGAACGCACCTGTCTTGAAGCAGTGCAGCTAAGCTGCTTCGGGGAGGCAGGGACTGGGAGCCTTCACCTCCCGTGTTTGGGGCACATGACTGGGAAGGGCCGATCCATGGGGAAGGCCGTCACGCTGGGAAAAGTAGAGGGGCCAGGGAAGGGAAGAAGACTCAATGTGTTGGCCTGACCCAAGGTGGCAAACGTGCTGTCCACCATGGCCATGGCTGTGAGCACAGTGCAGGCTTGCTGGGCTCCGATCTGCTGGACATGGGATTTCCATGAGTTGGGAATAACTTGACAGCACCGCCCCGCGGTGGATCTGAGCTGTGCTTTGGGGCTCAGGACAGCATTCTCAGCTAGCCTGGGGTACTCACTGAGAACACTAGGACACTGAATCTGATGCTTTACTGTGTTTTACTTTTGCACTTTAGTGGATTAATTATGTTACGGGAAGGAACTCAAGGAGCCTTGGGCGAACAGGGGTTAAATGCCTGTCTGCTAACTGAAGGTCAGTGGGAGAACGAGGTCAAGATCCTCAGGACCCGACGAGGCCGCTCTGCTCTGTCCTGCAGAGTTCATATGAGCCAGGACCGCCGGTCAGCACAGTCAGTGAAGCCGCTAACGCAGGGAGCCCAGCCCTCTCGGATTGTGTGCGGATAAACTGCTGTGGGAATGAATGTT